TCTAACTACAATTTCTCTACAGCAGCATGTCTTAAAAACATCAACAAAAACAAAAACAATCCAGCGTTTTTACATTCAAAACAATGCAAAATGTGTGTGTGTGTATATATACATATACATATATATATATATATACACATACACACATACATACACACGCACACACATATGTATCTATATATTAACATTTCCCCCTCCGAATTAGAGAAGCCCCATGTACCAACACACATCAAACAAAAGAACACACCTGTCGAACAATTTTTGGTGGAAGGGACAAAACCAAAGTCTTCCCCAGCTCCATTTAGGTTAATAAAATACGTGCAAAATAAATCCCTTGGAAGGCAGTATCAAAGATAAATGTTTTCCCTGCTGGTTGGATCAAGGATGTTTGCTAGTTTAGATTATCACATTTGTGGGGCCATTTTTGCCGTGCCTAAGAAGTGGAGGAAGGTGTTTAGAAAGTGATTCCAACCAATTCAAGATCTAGTTCCTCGTCAGGAACTGAATTTTAGCCCGGCTAGGTGGGATTTTAGCCTGATTGCAAACAAGGAATCCAGGATGGAACTTGGCTTAGCTGGCTAAACCACCCATCCTACAATTTAAGCCCCATTGAGCGCGAATATCCGGCACCCCAATTCCCAGCCAGCTGCGCTCGTGTAGCCATTCCTCCACCCTCTGTCAAGGACGGATGGAGAAAAATGGTCCTTTATAGCAGGGTTTTTTTTTTCCTCTATGGGCTGGTTTAGGACAATCCCTCCCTCCCTCCCAGCCCCCCCAAATGATCTTTTCACCCCAAATGTTCATTTCAAGTATCTTCTCCAGCAAAAGATGGGAGGTGAGCCATGCGCGGGCGCCAAGGCACGGTGGTGAAGGCAGGATAAAACACGGCCGAGGACCAGGGCGAGAAAGGAGATCTCCAGCAGGGGCTTGCTTCTTCTGTTGGAGGCCACCACCCCATCCTCCCGGGCCAAATCCATTTCCTGCAGCCAGGCTGGGCCGATCGTCCAGTTCTTGCCCCTGCGCCATCTCCAAAACGGACGAGTCGCCGAGTCGTCCTCACTCGACAAAACTCCACGGGACCTTTTGTGGCTGACGGCGAGTGGAAAACTAAACAAGGATGCAGAAAGTTTGGGTGGAATTATCAAGAAAAGGAATCTTTTCTGGAAAATCCCACTGGGATGTGATCTTGGAAAGGAGCTTTCCACCTGCAGCTTGGCCCAGGGATGGAGCGCGGGGCAAGTTTCCGGGAAAAATGCACGGGAAAGGATGAACCCCCAAGAGTTTGTCTCAATGAATCCAACATAGTTCACTCCTACAGCGAGAGTCTTGTCCTTCCGGTGTCAAAAGGGGGGTCATTGGTAAAGAAGGTAATTTTTGAGAGATTTGGGCAAAGGTAGCGTCGCGATCTCACACAGCCGGTTCTTGCCCAAAGCGAGGCGCACCGAACGCCGGCAAAGGTCCATCAGCGGTAAAGGTTCGGCTAAAAGGGAAACAGATCCAAAATTAGCACCGTTCACAAATTAAGTACAGTCCAAATTCAACCAGCCGTTTGACCGCACAGACAGGTCGAGATCTTTCAGTGAGCCCAGCTGTATACCGGATGTAATTTAAAAAAAAACAACGGACAAAATTGGTACAGTTCACAGCAAAATGGCTTTGCGCGTTAAGATTAAGATTGATCGCAGAGGCCAAATTCATCATTTAACTTGCTGGAATGAGATCAGCCCCGATCTAGATCCGTGTTTCTCAATCTCAGCACCTTCAAAATGCGTGGACTTCAACTCCCAGAATTCCCCAGCCCGGCCTGCAGGATTCTGGGAGTTGCAGTCCTCACCTGCTGGAGGGGGGATTCTGGGAATTGAAGTCCGTCCATTTTAAAGTTGCTGCCATTGAGAAAGGCTGACATCCATTACCACAAAGTCAAATTGCCACCAGTTCTTTCTGGTCTGAGAAATGCGTATTTTTTTTTATTTTTCTTAAATTAGCCCAAATCCTTCGTCTGCTAGATCCAGAAAATCTCTAGGTGGCCAGAGGAAGAATCGGTCGGTTCCCTTTGGCGTCACAAATCCCCGACTTCCAAAGTGAGTTAAGACGACAGAGATGAAATAAGCTCGTTCTGGCAATTAGCTTTGTCTACAACACTAATTTTGGAAATTTAGCGGAGTCAGGCGGGGGGAGGAAAAAAAAATCAGCACCGTTGCATAGTAGCCGAGACCGATTTTGACCTCCCCACTCCAGAGAAAAAAGTCTCATCCTGTTGACTAAGTTCGGCTAAGTCATCCCACTTAAAAGCAACACCTGCAGGAAAACGTCACGAATATCGGCAATTAAATCTCTTTTTTTTTGCAATGACTTATTTCTCCCAGCTGCCGTTTCCTCCTCCGGCAGATTTTCCAAAGACGGTTGCCAACGGCAAGCCTCAAATCATGCACGCCAACGGCTAAGCCACACGGGAGAGCACCGGGTGGCATTCCGTGTGTCAGAATTGGTCACCCAACCCAACACGCCCGAGAGGACGGCAAGCAGTGCCAAAATGTTACTGACCAAACTCTCCTGGATTCAGAAGTTCTGAATTAAGGGTTGGGGGAAGCCCACTTGAGGATAATTCACTAACTTTTCTGCCTGAAATTTCGTCTTGACCGGCTTCGCTTTGCTATAGCGTGTAGGTAGTCCCTTGGCCTATATGACCACAAACGAGCGCAAAGTTTCCATTGCTAAGCAAGGCAGTTGCTGAGTTTTGCTGCATTTTACAACTTTTTTTTGCCACTTGCGAATCACTGAATTTGTTAAGCAAATCGTGCCGTCATTAAGCGAATCTGGCTTCTTCCGTTGACTTTGCTTGCCAGAACACAGGTGGAGAAGAGAAGAGAAGAGAAGAGAAGAATAGAATAGAATAGAATAGAATAGAATAGAATAGAATAGAATAGAATAGAATAGAATAGAATAGAATAAGGAATGGAGTGGAGTGGAGTGGAGTGGAGTGGAATGGAATGGAATGGAATGGAATAGAATAGAATAGAATAGAATAGAATAGAATAGAATAGAAGATGGAATAGAAGATGGAATGGAATGGAATGGAATGGAATGGAATAGAATAGAATAGAATAGAATAGAATAGAATAGAATAGAATAAATAGAATAGAATAGAATAGAATAGATTGTAGGATAGGACAGGATAGGATAGAAATTAGAATAGAATAGAAGAGAATAGAATTGAATAATGCAGAATAGAATATAAAATAGAATAGAATAAGGATAGAAATAGGATAGAATAGAAATAGAGAATAAAATAGAAATAGAATAGAGAATAGAAATAGAACAGAACAGAATAGAACAGAGGGGAAAACCAAGTTGCTAGATCTCAAGGCTACAGAGAAGAGTTGGAGCAAAACTGATTTTGGCACTCGCTTCTCTGGGCAAGGGTCTTCTTCTCCCTGGGTGACCAGCTCAGCAGGCAGCCCCGAATCACCAGGAAATGCAATGCAATCCTACCCTTAAATAAATACATAAACAGACAGCATTACAGCTGGGAGGGTCTACAAAACCTGCTGGCACAAAAACCATCAATCAAGCGATTGATTGGTTGATTCCCTGCACTGCCTTTTAAGAAAGCGGCGTCTGTACGTCGTGGATGCAAATCCCAAGATGCAGACCCGCCTCCCCCATCCCCAAATTCTCCCCGTGCCCCCTTTTCCTAGTGTTTCGCCCCCTTGGGAGAGAGGAAATATTTTCCCCGATCCAGGATTTGGAGAAAACCCGAGGCTGTTCCACTTTATCTGCCAAAAAACAAAAACAAAACCAATTTGCAAAAGATAATAAATCCCAACTTGGGTTGCTAAGCCAGCTGAAACCCACCAAGCACCAAGCAAGATTGTGCCACACACCAGGAATCAAAAAAGAGGCAGACAAATGCAAAAAAAAAAAAAAAAAAAAGGCATATTCTGGAGAATTATGACTCAGCAACTAAGTCTTAAAACTCTTTTGTCATTGACAGGAATTTAGCTGTCTGGTTGCAGATAAGCCAACAGGCCCACCGGCTGCTGTTTTGTTTTTTTAAAACGCGTCCTCACCCCCACACAAAAAAAATAAAAAAATACCACAGAGGGCAGGATTTTAGATTTAGATTTTAAATTTTAATCCATTGATTTGCTCAGTTTCCCTCTTCTCAGCAAAACCGGCGTCTCTTCTCTTGTGAAAATGGGAGCCCCCGGTTTGCAAAGAAACACCCCCCCCAAAAAAGCACCAAGAAGCGAGAAAAATCAACCCAGCATCAAATTTTGACATAATTTGTGAGCCTCGGTTGGTAAAGATGAGCTTCAAAGAGCAAATTGTGTAGAAATCAACACACACTGTTCGGAAGTCACACAAATGAGGAGCCAGATTGTTGGAGGGCAACAGGCCGAGTCTATAAACTGCTTAGAGAGGGCTGTAAAAGAATTATGAAACGGTATATAAGTCTAAGTGCTATTGCTTGGGAAGGGAGGAAGGAAGGAAGGAAGGAAGGAAGGAAGACAAGAAGGAAGGAAGGAAGGAAGACAAGAAGGAAGGAAGACAAGAAGGAAGGCAGGTGGTGCCGTGGTTAGAATACAGAATTGCAGTCTAAACTCTGCCCACTGCCATCAGTTCGATCTTGACCGGCTCAAGGTCGACTCAGCCTTCCATCCTTCCGAGGTCGGTAAAGTGAGGGCCCAGATTGTTGGGGGGCAATAGGCCAACTCTGTAAACCGCTGAGAGAGGGCTGTTAAGAACTGTGAAGCGGTCTATAAGTCTAAGTGTTACTGCTGCTATTGCTAATTATCCCGTACAGAGGCCCAATTAGAACCAGGTATCACGAAAGCGAAGAGACTTACGGTCGAGGCCGTTCAAGTATCGCATCTGGATTTCACAGTGGCCCCACACGGCGCTCACCACGGGGTGCAGTTTTTTCCCTTTCAGCCCCCGAAAGGCCACGCCCATGTACTGTCCGTCCACGATGAAGCTCAGGGTCCCGTCGTCCATGT